TCTTAACATGCACTACGTTATGTTGGTGTATCATATATAAAATCCCATCTTCACAAAGTATGAAAACATTCAAAGAGGTGTGCATAACTTTGCAAGGCGCCGAATGATTAAACAATATGGCCCATGAGTAATTATTACACTTAGCTTTTTTTTATATATATATATCTATAAAGTGAACAAAATTCCAGTACAAGCTCTGTAATTATGTCAGAGTTGTTCATTTCATATGTAGTCAGGGTTTATTTTAGTCACCCACCAACTCTGGAGACTTTTCCAGAAAGCCTCGAGAGGCGTTGCCCTCAGGTTTCCATGGCTGCATTCCTACTGTGTGAAAGCATCAGGAGGGAAGCAGTGGCGTTCGTTGCATCGTCAGTTCCTTATTCGGTCAAGTGCGGCTTGAACCTTCAGAGCAGTCCGACCAATTTAGAAAAAGAAGTGTGTCGGGGAGGGGAGCTGCACGGGCCGCCACGTTACTAAAATTAGCTTTCTATACCAGAGGCTGAGCGGACTGTGCCCTGCATGAACAGGATTCATTATTGTAGAGAATTGTCGCGTCACCGTTCCAGAAACGGAATGTCGAGCTTGCGTCTTATGCTTGGAAAATGTTATGGGCTTGTGCCTGGGAGTGCATACCCAGCCACATCCTGAATACTTTTGTTTGGCCTCACTGTCCGGGTCATCGTCTCCTAGATACACCACACTCACGCCCTCCACTGCAACGGTGTGTGTGTGTGTGTGTTTGGAATCTGTTGATTTTTCTCTCTGCTGTTTGCAAAAGTCAGCTGATGCTTACTTCCTGTTTCAGATAAAAAAAAATTTATCCAAATGACTTAAATATGTGTGCAGCTGCTGGACATTTCTAATACTGGGGAAAACAAATGAGTACAGTTGTCACTAGTAAATGTTTCTACATTCTTTAAGGAATTAATTGGAAATGGGACTGAAATGATTAATTGTGATGAATTTATTATTGAAATAATCAGCAACGAGTTTAATAATCAATTAATCATCAGCTGAAAATGCCAATTTGCTTAAACACACACACACACACACAGCAACAGCTAAGGCAAAACTGTTCAAAAATATACATTTTAAAACAAATGCAACTATCTATCTTATCTTCTGTGAACTCCTTGAGTGGCATAGTTTTAGCCTTACCCAGTTTAAATTCTGCAAAAAAAAAAAAAAAAAAAATCTATTAAGAACCTATTGCTATCCAATTATTTATCGGTTAATCTAAAACATAATCAACAGATCAGATCAGTAGCAATGTATGGATTTATTTACATGTTTAATGCATTTCTAATATTGCATAACAAGTAAAAAAAAATCAGCATAACATGCTAAGATTTTTTTTTTCCCTAATAATCATCAGAATAACAGCCCTATTTGGAAAAGCTACACCTTTGCCAACTCATGTGTTTTGCCTTTTATGGTTACATAGCTTGTTCTTGTGCATGAGTTTTATTTGTGTTTTTTTTTCCTTCCTCTTGCTAAAATATGACCTAAAACTTGACAAACAAGCCATGCTTTGTGCTGGTGTGTTACAGAAGTTTCTCCAGAAACCTTCTCCTAAATGTCAAACTCTGGAAAGTGTTAGTAGGACGAAGGCGGACACTGTTTACGAGGCTGTCCCAAACCTCTTCTGGGTTATGAATTTTCACCTTTTAATGGCAACGCTGAGGAGAATATCATTCTCCCAGGATCACCTCCTAAACTAAGGAAGGCATCCTGGTTGGGGGGGGGGGGGGGGAAATGGGACATTTTTGGAATATTTTCCCCCTTTTTTCCAAATGCCCAACCCCCCCCAACTCCACAGAGGGGCCCAGGATGAGGGGAGAAGGAATTAAAAGGGAAGAGAAGGAGGAAGAAGAGGGCTGTAAGCCAAAGAGCACATTGCTTGCAGAGCTTGCTATCTAACCTTTTCCTTTCATTCCCACTTAAGGCATCCATTACCTCTCACACTCCTTCATGTTTATCAAAACATTTGATCCTTAATTTCCTCCTAGCTTCCTGTAACGTCTCTGGCTCTCGTCATGCTGCCGATCTCTCCTGGCAGAGAGCTGCTGTCTGCCACTGCTCTGGGAACAAGGACGAAAACGGTGCCCTCTTTCTCGATCACAGTGGCTCATATGAACTCTATTTTAAAGCTGCTCTCTATCTTGAATTACAGTAAACCCTCTTTTGATTTACAAATGCCATTTTGTCATGCGCTTTGCATTTTATCACCGCTGACAGAGAGCGCACTTCAGACAGTTCACCTGCGTTATTCTTCCTCTGCATGCTGTAAGCTCTCCTTTCCATGTCATATGTTCCAGCCATTGCTATGGGAACAGTTGCTGTGTCGCGTTTCCACCCTTGATCTAGACCTGAATGCTCCTCTGTAGGCGCTGCGCTGGGAGATAATCATCCCGCTGATGTCCTTCTGATCCTGACGCAGGTCCGACTGCCCCGAGGCCGGAGCTTTATTCTGGAGCTGATCATGCAAACGCTCGAGGGGAATTTCATTTACCAAATAATGGCTGTGGGATTTAATCCCAGCGTTTCAGATATTGAGTTCAAAGAAAGGGAAAGGGAGAGGACAGCCGCTGTACAATGGGAGCCAGCAGACAGATCAAACAGAGCCATCCCACAGGGCGTCACACAGAGGACAACAGCAGCAAGTCTGTCCACATGAGCAAGAAAATGCTGGGTTTGGTTGGAACAAAGTCCTCTATTGTCCACAGATCAGACCTGCATCTCTGATAGGAAAGTGTTTATCTAAGATGTCAACTGATTTTAATCGGTCACAATGCTCGCTCCAAATCTGTCCTATAGTAACTATGAGTCTTATCTTTTGGCCCACTTTGCATGATCTGTGCAGTTTCTTGAAAACGTGAAACCGCCTTAAGGAGAACTGCACAGAGAGAGAGAGGAATGCAGAGTTCTGCAGCTCTACCGTAATGAATATATTCCGGGGCATCAGCATTCAAATGACCTCAGCTTGTGCTCTGCAGAACTGATGGACTGCTTTACATGCACAAACACATCCAGGGGCCCGCAAAATAAATATGAAACTTTCACCTTTATGTTGTTCAACTTTAAAAATGGGACGTTATTAATTTTAATCGGTTTAAATATGACATTTTCTAAATTGGTTAAAAGAAAAGAGTAAAGGCACGTTGTACTTGGTTCTGCATGATTTTCCTTTATCAGTTCGGCCTGATTTGGAGGTGTTGCCGCTGTGGCTCAGCTGAGGTGTTCAGGAAGATCAGGTTGCTTTTATAGCGCTCCCAGCTTGTCAGCATTGTTGAGTGTAGCGCCTTATGTTCCTCTCCACAATGCTCTATGGATTTCCTGTGTCTCGTTTAAATCGGAGAAATTTTCTTGTCGAACAAGAACCATGATGAGACGATCATTAACGCAGGTGTTGGTACATTCAGCAGCACGAGTCCTGCTGTAAAAGGAAATCAGCCTTTATGTTGTGAATACAGAAAACTTTCAAAGTGCTTATTAAGACTCATCTTCCTTGACTTCCAAGTGAAATGCACAATTTACATTCATCTGAATAGAGTTTGAACTGCCAAGCAAGAACTGGATCCTTAACATGTGACCGGTCAAGCCCATGTCCAACATCAAACTCTGTGCTCTCTTGAAGAACTGACTGCTACTAAGTGCATCTTTTCCCACCACTTTTCTTCCTTCCACTTAACTTTCCATTGACATGCTTGAATGCAGCACTCTGAAAAGAGCAATGGTGATCTGTTGCTTACCCTCCTTGTAGAGAGAGTCATCAGTCTTCCTCGGGAATATTTAGGCTCGCATTTTTGTATTAATCAGTCAATCAAATTTTATTTGTATAGCATATTTCAGCAGCAAGGCATTTCAAATTGCTTTACATAATTAAAATAAAAACAGCATGTGACATTGAATAAACAGTGAGAAAGAGATTTTGAAAAAAAAAAAAGATTTAAAAAGATAAAAACATTAAAACCTGCGCCCCTTTTAGGACTTCAGTTAAACATAGTTTAACTGAGTCTCTAACCCTCTGGGCACCGTTTGACAAGGACTCTAAACCCCGTAGGATTTTAGGTAAATGTCGTTTAACTGGGACGTTTTCCGGGGTGAGGGGCTTTACATCATTAAAACATATTAAAAACCTTTTTTAGATTACTTTTTTTTTTTTAATTGTTCTGGAGTTATACAAGTTTTTTTTTAAGACTAATGTAATTTCAGGCTGTTAAATTTGATATTGGTATTTATCTAAATGTGCATTTAAGAAGATTTTATTGGGATACCTCGGGTAAAGTTCTTACTGCTCTGACGGTTTGTCTATTTGTGATTATTGTTCGGTGTGAAGGAGAAAACGAATCACTGCTTTTAACTTTTCTCTTTTGTAGTAGGGCGGATCACTCAGACATTTATTTCAAAGGAAACAAACTCTTTGTGACTGGCTAGCTTTGATTTTCTCAAGCCCCCGGTTTGTTTTGATCACGTCGTTAAACAGTATTCATCAGACTGGAAGAGTTTGTGTCGATTAATCACCCTGCTCAGCTTGTTTGTGCAGGCTTACTTAAGAAAAGTCTTGTTCTTAAGTTTCCCGTTACTCTGAAGTGTTTTTCCAGATTGATGAAGAGGAAAATGTGCTGAAGTCTTTAGGACTTTAGAGTCGGTGTCCAGCGTTTCACTCCTACTTATCTTTTTTGAGGCGGAGAGCCTGAAAGAGTCATTGTCTGAAACAGACCCTCACTTGGGGAGTGAAGTGAAAAGCTGTGAACTTTGTAAAGGTTGTGTAAGAGAGATATGATCTCTACTTGTTGAATTATTGCAGCCCTAAAATGCAAGCCGACTGCATTCAGAGATGTTTAGATCTTGACTGTTAGGGTTTCCATGGTTCTAGTGATGAAATCTGTTTTGTTTTCTTTTTTTTTACCCATTTTGTCCCCTTGTTTCTAAAGAAAGATACGTGAAGTTCTTTGGTTATTCTTTTGCTTCTCTAACTCTCACTCTGTTTGTTGAAGGCGGGAAGCGACGGCGAGAGCATCGGAAACTGCCCCTTCTCTCAGAGGCTCTTCATGATACTCTGGCTTAAAGGAGTCGTCTTTAACGTCACCACAGTGGACCTGAAAAGGTGAGGCCTGCTTGTTTTTAAACCTTGCTTAATTTCAGACAAAATGCATCTTTTTGATTTCTTCCTGGGTGGAGCTGTGCTGTAGCCCTTTGATCCAGCTCCACCCTTTAACACGCTCGCTGCTTCCCCACTCCTTGTTTGGTTTTCCCATGACTCCTTCCCAAGCTGTAGAAAATGAGAGAAAAATAAACATGCAGGCTCCAGAGAAACTATTTAAAGCTCCTTGACTCGACTCCCTTCCTGTTTGGTGCGGAACATGTTTTCCAACCACTTGGATAAGAAAACTGTGATCTTCAGAATTTTTCTTTAGTTTTGCCTACCAGCTTCAGGAACATGTACTTTTTCCAGGGGCCCGATGATCTGCACCTCCATCCAGGGTTCTGATGGATGATTTACGTCTTCTACGTAATTTTTGCCACTTTGTTTTGAAACATTGTTTGCTTATATGGCAATAGAAATATGATTGGGCTACCCCCTAAAAAAAAAGAAAGAAAAAAACAACAATGTAACTTTGAGTCACATTCCTCTTGCTTCCTAAACAAATCTATCCATTTTTTTCCATCCATCCCTGTATCTACCTGTCTGTTCAGATTGTCAATTCATTCCTCCACCTTTCCATCAATTTATTCTTCTATTCATCCACCATTTTATCATTCATATAATTTAACTCAAAAGTTCAACCAAAACCTGGAATTTGAGTCTCAATAAGTGTGCTGGAAATTAAAGCCATGCCTATTTTGCTAGTTGTCAGGTTTTACTCGCATGCCTGCGTATTCATAATTAGTTCAGAGGTTTAGATGTATTTACATATATTTCCCTGTGTGGCTCCTGCAAGGATGCTATAAATTTCAGCCGTGTAAAGCAGTTGATGTTGCTCACTATTTTTCTTTACCTCCTTCTCTCCCTTCATCCAGTTGTAATTCTTTCTTGTTGCTATATTTTAGTTTTTTGAATGAATAACTCATATTTGCCTTTTTCTTTGTCATTGGGAGCCTTTGAAGTCAACATGAAATGCATGTTTTTGTTTATGGTGGTTTTACTGTAGAATTTAACCAGAAGTGGAGGCCGTGTTGAGCTCGTTTCCCTGGAAAAACATGTTTTACATCTATTAATAATAATTCTTTGGAATTTCTTAATCTTCTGATTGGTTGACATGTCTTTGCTCTCCTGGACTGTGAGGGCACCTCTGTACCCGCTCCTCAGTGATATCTCTCGGGGACTGTACCACACCCCATTAACATGCCAAAGAGTTGAGGTCATTTCCCCTTTTTTCTTTGCCCTTAAATGGCTTTTCTCAAACTGCGGCCGCCGTCGTCGTCGCAATAAAAACATTGAGGATCTGTGGACGTTTGTTTTTGTAGCCCACAGCAACATCGTTGCTGTGTTTCGTGTTGCTTTTCTAGCGAGAGGATTTAACGGGCTGTTTGTGTTTGACCACTCACTTGTGTTCACACTCCTCATTCAGCACATGCTCATTTCTGTTTGTGTCTCGGCCTCATCTGCCTGCCATCTGGTACAGAATGTGCTGGCTGCGAAGGCCGCAGAACGGAGGACGCACACAAGAGCACAACACTCGGTTAGAGAGACAGCAGCTGGAGCTGCAGTGGGAGAAAAGCCTGGACGACTTGGTTTAAAAAAAAAACGGCTTTGACTGAATCGAATGGCCTTGTTTTCACAGGAAGCCCGCAGACCTCCAGAACCTGGCTCCCGGCACGCACCCGCCTTTCATCACGTTTAATGGCGAGGTCAAAACTGATGTCAACAAGATCGAGGAGTTCCTGGAGGATGTTCTCAGCCCACCCAAGTGAGTCCTTTTTAACCCATACTATAATAGCACACCACACCTATGCACCAAATGTAACTCATTATAGTCAAAACACTGAGCATAAAACGGGAGTGGAGACCTCAACTTAAGTCATTTGGAGAATTATGCCACAACATGTCTAGGAAAAGGGATTTGCACCAGTGGTGTCCAAATGTTTTGGCATCAACAATAAATTAGGCTTGCAGTATTTTATTAAAACAAGTCGTTGGACTTATTTGTAGGAAATGTAAATCACTACATTAAAAAAAATAAAAGGTTTATTTTTGAATGCTTGCCTTTTATCTAACCCTTGTGTTTACAAATGGGGTCCAACCGACCCCGCACCCATAAAACTTGTATCATTTGCCTCAGTCCTCGCACGCACAAGGGTTAAAAAGGGGGAAACAAGTTTGCAAATTATTTTGGGCTCGATTTGAAAAACAGAAGAAAAGGGCTCTTTTTTTTTTTTTCAGCTATAAGAACAAAGTTTGGGTCACTATTTATTTGAGAGCGCTCACTGCATTAAGTTGAATGAATAAATTTGAAAGCAAATTTTGTTGCACCAGTCTGTTCTTGAGTAAAAGCCCCTGGATAAGATTTCATGTGATACACAAATACAAAATAGTCCATAATTGTGAAATAAAAATAAAACTATACAAGCTGTAAAACATAATTTACTAGTAAAATCACAACTTCCCTGAGTCTGTATATTTATCAGCTTGTTTATAGACAGAAGTGTTTCACCATTCTTCTTTGCAAAGAAACAACCTCAGTTAGCTGTATGTAGTGTGTGTGTCTGTGTGGGTGTGTTTGATCAGCATTTCTCAAGTCTGGTCACTGGTTCTCTACTGGATTTAAGTTTAGATTTCAAGGAAGTCATTTCAACACCTGGATCTGCTTTAATCTACATCATATCTTTGATCTGGTTACATGTTGGGGTTTGTCTTGTTTTGTGATAATCCTACATTTGTCTGAAGTCTTTCTCAGCTTTTCTCTTGAGTTGCTTTGTATTTGGCTGCATCCATCTGGCCTGTTACCATTGAAGAAACCACCTTAATTTCACCAGGATGATGTGCAGTTAGTTTTATGCTCTACATGGGTACATTACTTTTAGACTCTAGATTACATTGCCTTACTCAGAATTGTGGGTATTTTTGGGCAATTGAAGATTATTTCTTTGCTGTCAGTTGTGATTGCCATAACGACAAAAATATTCTCCTTTGGTAAAGCACAGACTTTGTTTTATCTATTGTTTTTTTTTTTAGATACGTCAAGCTTGGTGCCAAACACCCCGAGTCTAACACAGCCGGCATGGACATCTTCGCCAAGTTTTCTGCCTACATCAAGAACTCCAAGCCAGACGCAAACGAGGGTAAATTACCTGCATTTGTCTTTCACACTCGCATTCTCACACAGGTGTGTAAGATTAACTGCATCATGGATACCTTTCAGCTGTGAAGGGAGTGCTGTCTGGTCACTAGGCAACCTTTGTAGCCCTGCCCTGATTGGCGGATTCTGCCCTGATTCAGGAACACAGCTCTTTTGTTCTGCTGCCTCCTCTTGTGTCGCTCCTCATCTCACCTGGAGCTTTCCAGAAAAAACCTCTCAGCAGCCAGTGCTCACAGTCTGCTCCTGTTCTACCTTAACCCTGCAAAGTAAAGCATCTCTCAGTAAGACTACAGATTAGAATATCAAGTCTTTTAGGTGTTACCTAATCTAGGTTAGGCTTCTTGTTATGGCTCTTTATGGAGAAGTCCATATCTCGCTTCAGGTGCCTGTGCTCCGCCTTGGGGAAATATTGATCCACAGTGAGTTTAGACGAGGGCCTTGGCTGTGTCAACAATGAGAGGCTGAATCTCACAGTTCACTGATAAGCGCTCTAAAACATAGCAGCTGTTGAACCCCTGAAGCTTTCATTCCCTCAAATTCATTGCATTTTTTCTAACAATAAAATCTCTTAAACAATCACAGATGATAAAATGTGTTGTGTGTAGAATTTGCCTTCCATCCTAACAGAATGCAGAATATTGTTTAAAAAAATTTTATAATCAAAAATACATACAATAAAAGCTATTTTTTTTTTTTTAATTAATGTACATATTGTATATTACTTGATAAATGCTGCCCCCGTGTGGTTGCAAAGCATACAGCCTAAGCAGCTTCAGTGAAATGATCTCCGTTTGCTGTCGCTGTGTTCAGCTCTGGAGCGTGGGCTGCTGAAGACGTTGCAGAAGCTGGACGACTACCTTCGCTCCCCGCTGCCCGACGAGATCGACCACAACAGCATCGAGGACATCAAGTTCTCCAGCCGCAAGTTCCTGGACGGGGATGAAATGACCCTGGCGGACTGCAACCTGCTGCCCAAACTGCACATAGTGAAGGTAAACGTTGATGATGGTTTAAGCAAGTTTGAGTCAAATTAGATGAATTTTACTGAACCTGATTCAACCTCTCGGGAGTAAGATGGAATTTTTCCTCACACAGCCGTGTATATCGTAACTTTTAACTTTAAACAGACTGTGATGAAAGGTTTTTATGAAGACTGAAAATGCCCCCAGACAGTTGCATCTTCATCTCAGTTGCCTGCAGTTCTTTGTCGCGTGTTACAGGTTGTTCAAGAGAACTTTGAACTTTCTCTTTTAGGTTGTGACTAAGAAGTACCGAGGCTTTGACATTCCCAAAGAGATGACGTCCATCTGGAAGTACCTGAATAACGCCTACACACGTGAGGAGTTTACCAACACCTGCCCCAGCGACAAGGAGATAGAGATCGCCTATGGAGATGTAGCCAAGAGGCTGGTCAAATAAACGTCTCTTCACGGTCCACATTGCCCACTAAAATCCTAACCCATTCCGCCGTCCTCTCTCATTTCCTTACACCTCCCACTCCTCAGCATCTGGACTGATGTGCCTCATTTTTGAGACAGAAGCAAAAAAAAACAAACTCTGGACTTCTTTTCCTTCTCTGCTCATCCTGTTGTCGTTTCCCCCCTCTGGTCTTATGAAGGTCTCTCTTAGTTGAATCAGTAGAGGTCACCCTTGTTCCACATTGATCATTTAATCGCTTCTGTTCTTCACTCACTATTGTATGTGTGACATGTTATAGCGGAGCTTATCAATGTTCAGAGTTAGATAAGTGACCTTTCGGTTGACTTTGTCTCTGCCAGCAGAGGAAATGTCACAAGCCTTTGTTTCTGGAATATTAAATTGGATTCTTCTTGGATTGTAACTGAAAACTTTTTCCTTTCTTTTTCGGCTGATTCAGAGATCTTGTGAACAGTGTTGAAGCTTCAGTGTTTCTGCCTACAGTATTTAACAGGGTTAGACTAGAAGCTGAAAATAATACAAACCGGAATGCAGAGATGGTTTGTTATAAATATATATATTAAAAAAAAAATTGTAACAGACTGGCAAACAAACTTTGATTTTTTTTTTTCCCCCTCGTTGCCTCAAATGCTTGGGGGAGAGTAGCTCAGCTCAGAATTGTAGGAAACGTCTCAGGACTAATAAACCCTGAGATTTACAAATATCCAAACACATGTAGCTCATAGTAAAGTATTTTTATTGCCTCGTTGCTGCAGTAATTCAAAAAAGCTCTTGTCAAAGCAAAGAAACCTCTTGATTTTTTTTCTTGATGTAGGTGATGCACATTGAACCAAAAAGAGGCAGATTAGCAGCTGCTTCATAACGTACACGGTGAAGGAGACAACACTGCAATCGAGCAAAACCGAAGATATTTATGAAGTAAAAAAGGAAACTGAGGAGCGTTGGAATAAATAGAACCTGGTCACATTTCACGTTCCCTCCGGTATGAAGGCATATCTGAAGTAGCAAATGTACGCATCGATACAGTAGCTCCGGAAAGTGCTTTAATGTGGATGAAACAAAATGCTTTTCTCCCGTTTGTCACGTTTTTTGTTTTTTTTGTTTTGTTTTTTTCTCTTCAGACTTTTGTTACGAAACAAATCTGATTTAAAAAGGAATTGTAAATATTGTTTCGTTTTTTTCATTGCTCTGATTTCAATATGTAAATTTACTGCATATCATCAGAATTCTGAGGAAAAACAGGCCCGTTTCTCACCTGGTTTGAATTCTGAGGAAACATTTTCCAGTTTGCCTTACTAGTTTTCTCTGCAGTTGTTTAGCAGGAAGGTTTTTTTTTTTTTTTTTTTAGATCTACAAGCAACTAGAGTTTGTATAAAGAAATATCAAAGGTATTTCACGGCTTTTTTTTTTTTAACAATATTGACTGAATTTAAATAAACTTCTTATTGGCACTTAGACTTGTGTGTTTTCTTTCACATCTGAATAGTTGTTAACAATAATAGAAACAGTTTGCCTCTGGTGCTGAGGTCTGCTCTCTGCAGCTGTCTCAAATTACTGTGCATAGGCCCAAACAATGTCCAACGCCAACTCAAACAACTTCCCTCTAGATATCCAAGGAACATTCATCAAAGATTTTTCTTTGGGAAGGATGAGGTGGCAGAGGGGATAAATAACAGTTTATCTGGATGTTTAAGATGCTGGCTGACCCTACAGACTAAAAGAAAGTACACTTTTTACTTTGTTTTTTAGGGTTTAATCGGGACAATCAGGGATCTGATGCAGAGATGGTTTGTTATAAACCATCTCTGGTTTAAAAATGGTTAAATCTAACTTTAAGTGTAAAGGAATGACAGATTCCATACATTCATTTTCAGCAGGGTTACTACACAGTTTTAATGTATGAAATTTATTATTTTATATCTTTTATTAATATAAGTATAGAAAAAAAGCAAAGTATGGAAAAATATTAAAATCCTTGGACTCTTCTTAATTACAATTTGGATAACAGCTGTAATTATCCAAGCTGAGAATGAATCACATTTAATCATCTGATTCATTCTCTTTATCTCTCCACTTAAGCAACTCTTATTGTGTTTATTTCAGACATGAGCTGAAAAAGATTAAAATCTTAAACTGTTGTCCAAAAAGTAAACTTGGCAAATCAGCACAAACACCTCTTAAGCATGGTGGCGGAGGCATTAGGCCTGCTCGCAGCTTTAAGAACTAGATGCCTTGCAGTCATGGGTTCGAGTATAGAAAGACAAGAAGATGTTTATTGGTTCAGTTATCTGAAACTTGGCCTGAATCAAAAGCTTTGGTGGGACTTTAAGAGAGTTATAAACTGTTGTAAAGTAGACTGGGTTACAATTCAACCATGAGAAAATGTCTACTGGGGGTTGCTGCTCCAGGTTTTTTTTTTTTTTTTTTCCTATTTTAGTTTTATCTCTGTTCAATATATAATTATCCTGAAATGGCTATGTATATTTGCACCCTTGCAGTTAGAAATATCAACAGATATTTACAAGACACTTATCCCTGATACTGACCAATGCTAATATGTAAAAACTAAAAGAGGTTGTACTTTCTTTTTCCCATAACTCCATATTACTACTTTTCAAAGGTTGTTATGTCTGATCTGAATGCTTCAATGCAAATGTTTTACCTTTTTTTTAACACAGTCATTTTATTATTTTCTGGGTGACTGACTAAAAAAAAAAACCCAACATACCCCACTTCTCAGAGTTGTAGAAACTCCATTCCAAAATCAACAATGCTGGTGGTCAGTACCTCACAATACCATCCATATTTTTAATGTTTTCCGTTCTGCTTCTGAAGAAAACCCTTCAGCCAAGACATGTTTGTTTACAGCTCACTGTCAGTCAGGAATGTCTCGTGTGGGTGTCCTCCCACTGTGGCTTCCACCTCCGCCCCGAGACACCCGCTTTACAGTGAGTCTTGACTCTGTTTCTCAGCTACTTCGGCACACAAACAAGTCTATTCTACAGGGCTTATGGCAGCCAAAGTTTCACAAGAGAGGGTGAAGAGAAAGGAAAAGGAAAAAAAAAAAGAGGTGTGGGGGCGAAGAGTTTTTTGGATTTCCTCCAGATCATTAAAGTCTCGTGTTTCAGCCTCAGACATTCCCTACTCCCTACTAACTGAGACGCTGCCTTTACTTGTAATTCTTCTAGAGGAAATCCATCCAGACGCAAACAGACTGTGTGCATGCGTGAGAGTGTGTGTGTGTGAGAGAGGGAATGTGGTAAGAAACAACAAAACAGGCTGGCTATCATTCAGACCACACAATCATTACAAGCAGGGCGAGTGTAATTGGGTAATAGAGGTGGAGCCAGGAGGGCCGAGTGTTGTTTCATAAACATGTTGACTGCGTGTGTGTGTGTGCTTATGTGTTTTTGTTTTTTTTTTTTCCAGAAATGTTGAAGCTTAGACTCCTAAGAACTAAAATGATTTTTACTGGTTTATGTTTAGACTATATGATGGGTGACATCTTGGTTAAAGTTTAGTAAAGGATAAAAAATACATATCATGGCTATTTTACACCATTAAAAGGAGTGTAAAATAGCTTTGAGGCGCTGTGTTAATTCACATTTATGTTCATAAATAAATCAGACTCAATCCATTACAACTAGTTTGAATAATTAATTATTTACTTATCTAATGAGCAAACTCTATTACAAATAACCGAAGCAGTGAGATTTCTGTGTATTTCTTAAGATTAAGATTTATTTTTCATCAGCTTTAAAAATTCACTTTAATTTAAAAAAAAAAATCTGAATTTATAAGAAAAATTATGAAATTGGAAATCAGTCAAGAATTACCATTATTGATAATCTATCTCAGATATATTTATTATGTATTTAATTAAATAAAAAGACACTGGAGGACTTAAAATAAATCTAAAGAACAATCTTCACACTCTGCCTCAGATCTCTTTGTGGTTCTTTACTTTGCATTTGAAACTGAGTGACACGTTTAAAGAAAGTGACATTAAGCAACCTCCCCTCACTCTCTGCTCCCCAAAAAACAACGTGTGCACAAAAATTGAAGAGAGTGTAAACTCTCCGATAGCACAGGATTTCTGCTGCCAGGAGAGGAGATATCACAAAGGCCTGATAAGCCAAAGGTTAAATTAAGTGTAGGCTGTATTCTACGATTTCCTTTTTCTAACCTACATTCCTTAAGCGATGGGGAAACCTAACAAAACTATCCTTAAATTTAAAATACAATCACACGATTAAGGTTGTTTTCACATTCAAAGCTTTAGACATCATTCTTTTGAAGAAAGGACATGAATTGTTATTCCTAACCCTAATGCATTTTCATTCACTCAATAATAAATACAAATAGCTAATGCGACAACTACAAGAAATCATGAATGAAAATTGTCAAAGCTTTCTGAATATTTAAATCAGGTCAATAAAATTTTTAATACAAGAAATAATTCTATGTGTTGTGAGAGGCATCCAAACCAAATCTATTTTGAGCCTAACTGTTTAGGGTGATTCAGAAAAAAGTGTTGGGACGATGTGCTGAAGGTGGAGTGTTCGAAAGAGTAGGAGCTTCTTAAAGACACAAAGATCCAATTTCAAGGCGAAAGATTACAATGTCAAATTTATTTTAAGTCATGTTTGATATGTACAGCATTTGTATGCCAACTGAAGTTAACATGATTGTGCTATAGAATGGCCTGAAAAATACATAAAACTGCCTCTTCAATCTAAATAATTTTTTTTATTCTGCTTTCTTCTTCTTCTTTTTTTCTCTTTACAGTGTAATTTAATCACACATGTATTTTCATCACTCAATAGTTGAGTGGAGGCGTTTCTCTTTGGCATTGACTCTTTCCCAGCACTGCCAGCTCACTTTGCAGCTTTTTACACAACACCCATTTATACAGCTGACCAAATATTTACTCTGGTAAAGTAGCTCGCTCAAGGGTACACAGCGATATCCCGACTGGGTTTTGGACGTACAATGTGCGAAAAACTTTCTTTTCATATGAACTCTGTGCACCTGACATTTGATGTGGTTAGGGGGCTGCTTGTATTTGATTTAGCACGCTGATTGACAGTGCACAGGACTTAGCAGAGCGAAAC